GTGCCCTTCCAGAGCCCGAGGACCCAGTGCCTCGGCTTCTCCATAGACAGAGGGGGCGCGCCACCCGGCCTCAGGCCTCTCCTGGTGCGTTTCGGGGTAGACGTGGGGGAGCCTGTTGCCCACAGTAGAGTGAAGCAGCAAGAAGGATAAAGGGCTGAAAACAGCACCCCTATGTACGAGCCCCCCATTTCAATGCGGGGTGCCTAGAAACCTGGGAACTGGGCTGAGGGGTGGGGAGGAGGAGCCTCACTTGCTGAGGTAGCACCTGGGCCATGCACACCTCCATTTCCAGGGACAGGAGTCCACCTGGCAGCGGTGGGCACGGTGACTGCCCCCCATCACTTCATTTCATTCTGTCCCCACAGTTCCTTCAAACCAGACTTCTGGGATACCTGGGCCCTGATTTGGCCAGCGCAGACACAAAGGAGGTGTTTTTTTCTCCGAAAGGAAGGGAATTTTTGGAACCACCACGGTTTAGAGGACAAAAAAGATGGGGCAGCAGGTGCTGAGGGCATCCTGGCCCTTTGGGAAGCAGTCTGGATAACAGACCTTAAATAAGACTCAGCTTCCTGCCCCATCCTTGCTGTGTGACCTTGGGCAGGTGGCCTTCCCTCTCTGAACCTCAGTCACCTCAGTTGCAGAATGAGTGAAGGATCCACTGGGTCTAATTCTTTAGCTGGGCTCTGGCCTCAGTGGGTGCAGGAGAAAAGGGACCCCAAGAAGCTGGGGGTAGGGAAGTGGCCAGGATGCTCAGGCCAATTCCTACGTGAGCTTTAACCTTGAGCCTCCTGTGGAAGCCTGTTCCGTGAGCATTTCTGCTGACGCATCCCCGGGGTTTCTAGCCTGCTGTCTGCAGCTATTTCAGATGCACTAGGTACATGGCTTGGGGACTCGGGGCTCCTGAGTGTCTGGATTTGGCAGATGGAGTCTGGCAGGGCTGGGCTCGGACCGTCTGCCATTTGCTCTACTTTGGGCCTCCCTCCCAGGGCTGGCCATTTGTCCTGCTCCTCCCTCCCCCTTCTATCCCTGCCTTCAGTCTCAGCTCCAGGATTCCATTAATAGCAGAGAATGGCTGAGGCCAAGAGCCAACGATGACTGTGTTCTCTCTTGGTCCAGAGAGTCGTTCCTGGGGCCCTGTAGTTCTTACAGTGTCAGAGCCCTTTCCAATTCTGGGGTCGGGTGGGGCTGCATGGGCTTTGGGGTCACCCTGACCTGGGTTAGAAACCTGATCTGCTGTAAAATGGCTGTGTGACCTTGGACAAGTCACTTCCCTCTCGGAGCTTCTGTATAAAAGATTTGAGCTGGGGAGAATCCTAGTGCCTGTCTCACACTGAGAATCGAATGAGATATGGAAGTGAAATGCCCAGTAGAGGGCCTGCACACAGAAGGCCCGCCAGTTGGTAATTTTCCGACTCCTTCCTTGTAAGAGAAGATCACGCACTCCCTTAGTGCTCAGCAAACACATGCTCGTGTTGTCAGGCTCTGGCTCCTTCCTGTCCCCTCCTCGCTGGCCCTTTTCAACCGCCAGCCCCATCAGTGATCCCGAACAAGAGTTCTGAGGCAGCTACTGTGTGCATGAACCTCTGCTTGGAGTTGGGGACACAGTGACCTGCTCATCTTTTATCCCCATGAGCTGTCCTCATAAGTCAAGGCCGCTTGCTAAATGCTCGTTGAGTGGCTACATAAATGCTGGAAGCTCCTAATGTATCAGAATGGGACAGAATCCCATGTCTTGGGTCCCACCAGGACTGTCATCTGAGTCCCCAGGGTGGCTGCAGGTTGAATTTCGGGGGCAGGTGACGATGCTTCATTGGACTGTGGTGGAGGCCCCTCTTGTCTTTGCTGTAGGCATTTCCCAGGCTGCTCACCCTCTTCGTGTCTCCTGCTGAGATCAGGGCTGTGACTGCCGACTCTTGGGAAGGCATTGCATGTAGCCAGCCCGCCTCGCCATTTCACTTCACTGTGGATGGTCGGTGTTGCCAGCTGGACTGTTTCCAGGGAGCACTGGACGTGTTACATTTGGGTTTGGAGGGGGCCGTATGGGAGCGCTGCAACCTCCTTCCGCGAGTGTTCACGCGGGGCCAGTGCGCTGTGTGCAGCTATTCGGTTGCTGAGGCACATTTGCAAGAGTTTAGGCTTCAGGTGTGTGTCACAGTTGCCTCCCCTGGTGTATTGTGCAGGCTCTGTTCTGAGCAGTGTTAGACGTCAGTACAGCAGCACCATGAGGGAGGGACTGCTGTTACCCGTCTTGCAGATGAGGAAGCTGAGGCACAGAGCAGTTCAGTGATTTGCCAACCATCAGTCAGCTGTAAGTGGGTGTGACCGCAGAGAAGCCAGAACCGGCGGCACTCATCAGTGGATGAGAGAAACGTCAACACCTCCCCCCCCCCAAAGGATCCCCAGCTGTCCTCGCATCACTGGGGCTGCTGGCAGCATCTTCCTGTGGGGCAGTGTGCAGGAGACGGGGTTGGAGAGGGCAGGAGCCCATCGGGAGGCCGAGGTGTGCACGGGAGCCTCGGCGTTATTGGTAAATGGGGCAGTTACACCTGAGGCATCATGGGACCAGATGCGGAGCCCTGGGCGTGAGCGGCTCAGAGCCCGGAGGGCTGAGCATCTTGTCCGCTGGAGGGTTCCCATGATGGGCCTCCACGATCGTGTGCCCTTTGCCCACCCAGCATGCTCAGGGGTTTGGCTTTGGGAGAATCCCTGGAGATGGGGATCAGTGTGGATGACCCAGCAGCCTCTGCCCTAGGAGGTGTGGAGTTGGGGCCTTCCATCCACACCCACTGCTCTCACCCTTATTCAAGCCACTGAGCATGCTCTCCGTGACGATGGCCGCAGCCCCTCACTTCTGCTTCTGCTCGCTGCCTGCTTAGGCCTCCTCCCATGACAGCCAGAGTGATTGATTGGTTCATTTACTCGTCAGCTCATTTCTGGATTCACTAATTGGCTTAATAAATATTTATCAAGCAGCCAACATTCTGGACATCGAGGACAGAGTAGGGGCCAGGTAGTTACAAGCCCTGTGAAGGAGTTTTTATCCAACTAACAAACAGCAAGCAAATTAATAGTATAACATCAGGTGTTGATAAGTCTTATATAGAAAAACGAAGCAGAGTCAGGGGTTAGAGTGGCGTGTGTGTGTGTGGGTGCTGTTTTAGACAGGGCTGGGTCGGAAGTAAATGAGGTCAGGGAGTGAGCCAGGAGCCCTGTAGGCAGAGGGAGCAGGGAGTGCAAAGGCCCTGAGGCAGGGCCATTCCATCCAGTTGGTTGGAGGAACAGCAAGATGACTGCAGAGTTTGGAATTTCCTCCAAATAAGAAGGAAAGGCCCTGAAGGGTTATGAGCTGGGGAGGGACATTATCTGACTTGTGTTTCAAGAATTACATCTTGGCCGCTGGGTGAAGAATAGTGAGCAGTTTGGCTGGTGTGGCTCAGTGGCTGAGCATCAACTCATGCACCAAGAGGTCACCAGTTCCATTCCCTGTCAGGACACTGTGGGCCAAATTCCCAGTGTGGGGCATGCAGGAGGTGGCCAATTGATGTTCTCTCTCATCGATGTTTTTCCCTCTCCCTTCCTCTCTCTCTAAAATAAAAAAAATAAAAAATAAAAAAAAAAGTAGTGATCAGTGCAAAGGAGAACAATAAAGCAGGGCGGATATGGGAACTGTGATTTTAGGTGGGTTGTCAGGGTAGACCCCTGTGAGGAGGTGATTTTGGGTGAGGTCTTGAAGGAGGTGAGCGAGTTGAGTAGGCGTTGGGGATAGCTGGGGGGAAGAATGTCCCAGGCCGAGCGAACAGCCGTGGGGAGGCGCTGACACGCCTGCATTGTTCTAGTGGTATGAGAGGAACTGAGCAAGGGGAACTTCACAGGAGGCAAACTTGACCGTGTCTCCATGGCAACCCAGAGCCCTCAGGTCCAAGCAGCTCCTTGCTTGACTCGTGTGGAAGGTTCTCAGACATCCTTTACCCTCTCTGCTTTATGTATGGCCTCCCGTCGGAAACACCCATCTTTCCCTCCTTTGCCCAGCCTACCCACCGGACTCAGCTTTCAGCTGTGCTCACTCCTCCAGGAAGCCTTCCTTGATACCCCTCCCCCGCTGCGTTCTATGCCCGTGTTTCCTCACTCTGTGCACAGTGTCCTCTGGCTTGTTTGTGTCAGCCCCACTGTCTTTCAGCTACTGAAGGCAGGGGTCATGTCTGACCTCTGGGTCCCAGGCCCTGTCAGCACGGAGCATTGGCATTGAGACTGCTCAGTCGGTATTGATGTCTGCACTTGAGACTCGAGCTCGGTGTTGGTCTGGGAGGCTTTGCCACCCTGGGTTCTGTGGGGTGGAGAATGGCTCCCCCGAGCCCTCAGGAGAGCCCCAGAGAGGAGCCTGCTCAGCCTCCCAGGAAAGGCCTAGAGATGGCCCTCGGGCAGCTCAGTATCCCTGGAGAGAGCACCAGGCTTCTGGTGAGTCGGAGAAGGAAGGAGGAAATGGGCATTTTTGCAAAGTAAGGCCCATTTAAACCTTAACTACCTCCCCCTCCTACACGATTAACACCATTAAAGTATGAAGAGGGAGGCGGGGAGAGAGAGAGACTTTCCCCATCCACCTCTCTTTTGCACCTTGCCACTTGCACGCCTTCCTGGGGTTCTGCGGGAGCCGGGAGAGAGCAGCCTGGTTTGGGAGAAGCCTGGTTTGAGCGTGTTGAGCAGCACTGAGCTTCAGGGACTCCCAGGAAAGGTCAGAGCCACCCCACGGCGTCTCCAGGTTGTCCAGGGAGGCCTGGAGATCATCAGCAAATCTCAAAGAAAAATTGACTTCAAAATGACTGGCAAGGAAATTGACATTAATTTTAATGCATAAAATAAATTCCAGTGGAGTAGGGTATGTCAGGACTCCCATAAACCACGTGACAGTGTCATAGGGTCCATAGATTTTCGGAGTCTAGAGAACAAACCGGCTTTTCCCTCGTGGTTTATATGTGGTCACGTTGTTGTTCTTTCACTTCTAGAACACTCTGGACCTGGAGGAGACTGGCGAGGCGGTCCAGGGCAGCAGGGTCACCCTCCCAGATGTTTCCCTGGTAAGAGCTCTCTGGCCCTTTCCTTGTGTTTTGCCCTCCGAGGTCTGTGTGCGGCCCTGGGGGCTGGCTCCTTGGTGAGAGCCATTGGGAGGGGACGAAGGACCGGGCTGTGAGCTCTCTGATGCAGCCCCGGGTGTACGCACAGTGTGCCCCTCTGCTGTCTCTAGCGGGACCAGGACGCTCCTTCCGGGCTCTTTGCCTAATTTGGGGTTACTTTTGATATGTTGTCAAAACGTAATCATAGCCAACACTGCAACATGGACTGCATGGAGAGACTCTCTGAAGAGGCGGTCCGCCTGGGCTGGGAAAGGACATTCACGTGCCGTGTGTGCACATCAGCAGTCTGGGCGGCATCTCTGTGATTCTGACCCAAACAACTGTTGAATGGCTTGGGCTCGGGAGCCAGACTGCTTGGGTTCAAACACCACCCTTGCCACTGACTGTGTGACTTTGGGCAAGTTTCTTCACCTCTCTGTGCCTCGGTTTCCCCATCTGTAAGATGGGGATAAGAAGAGTGTACCTAACCCATAAGCCTGCGGCAAGGGGTCAGTTGGCTAATTTAAGTAAAGCTGTTGGAACAGCGCCTGTGCTGGCGCAGACGCTCTAGTGCTGGATGTTGGCACAGGCAGAGGGGGAGTAGTGACGAGTGTCCGCAGCTGCCGCTCTGCCCCCGCCGGCGGAGTGGCAGGCACCTTGCTAACGCATTACACCCCTTTCTCCTCATCCCACAGCTCTGCTGGTAGGCGCAGCTCTCCCCACTGCCCAGAGGTGCACCCCGAAGCGCCTTGCCCAGCCCACACGGCACCCCAGCCTGTGTGTCTGTCCTCGTTCCCTCCACGCTCTCTGCCTCCAGTCCTATCCCACCTCCGGTCTCTAGTAGCTAAGATAATCTCCTAAAGAGAAAAGCCAAAGAAATGCCTTTGTTGTTTTTCCATTCTCCGCATCCCGGCTCCAATTAAGTCCTGTTCCCTGTGACAAGCCCTGGCTGATGCCAAGGACTTCAATTCCCGAAGGTAATGGTGCGGTCCCCAGAGACGCAGCCAGGATCCCTATGCTTATCAGCTGCCGAGATGCTGGGAGAAGTTTTCCACTCAGTGTTGCATTATTCAGGGCAGTGTGGCTCAGAGCTGATAGAGCAGGGACGGAGCTCCAGCCAGGCCTGCCCACTCAGCTGTCAGATCCCCTCTTCCAGCCGCGATGGGCTCTGACTCCTTCTACTCCTGTTGGGTCTTTTGGCAGGATGATGTCAAATCCACGGCCGAGGGGCTGCCTAGCTACAAGCTGCCCCCTCCCCCCCCACCTCTGGTCCAGCCGCAGAAGCCGGGAAGCCAGGAACAAAAGCCACCTTCCGCTGCGTCTTCCCACTCGGCCGCTGGCTTCTCCGCTCCGCAGAACCGCAGCCCACCGGCGGGCACCGCACCAGCCCCAGAGGCCCCGTGTGCACAGGACTCGCCCTCCTCCCCCATCTACGCCTCCATCTCCCCTGCCAACCCCGGCAACACCAAGAGGCCGCTGGATGCCCATCTGGCCATGGTCAACCAGCACCCCATTGGCCCCTTCCCACGGGTCCAGTCACCCCCGCACCTGAGAAGTCCCCCCACAGAGGCCACGCTGGCTGGGGGCTGCCTCCCACCACCCTCCCCATCGGGGCGCCCAGACCAGACAGGCACAAACCAGCACTTCGTCCTGGTGGAGGTGCACCGCCCAGATAGTGAGCCCGACGTGAACGAAGTGAGGGCACTGCCCCAGACACGCAGTGAGTACCGGCAGACGCCGGGGGCTGGGCTCGGGTGCTCGCTGGGTGATCTGGGGGGCGGGCGACCCCTCTGGATTGTCTGCCCACCAACACAGTGAAGGTGGAAACAGGTGCTCACCCAGCGAAGGGTCTTCTAGCCCAGGTGTCCCTCCCTCAGGGTCAGGGTGGGTGGGGAGCAGGGTCCGAAACCCACATTGAGGGGCTTTGGAGTCAGAGACACAACTGTGAGTCCTGGCTCTGCTGTGCACTAGCTGTGTGACCTTGGGCTAGCCGTTGTGCCTCTCTGAGCTGCTTTTCCACCCTAGAATGGAGGTGACAGCGACAGCCCTGCAAGGCTGCTGTGGGGGTTGGGCTCCTCCTCCCAAGCCCCCAGCCCCAGTCTCCCCCATAGGCCTGAGCTTGTTGAGGGCAGGTGTAGCTCCTGTGACCTCTGTCTCCCAGGACTTCCATGCAGGAAGGTGCTGGGGCGGGGAGTGGGCCCTGCAGGTCTCCTGACTTAGGGCTTCAGGGTCAGATTGCAGAATGGACCTACCAGGAACCCAGGAACCCAGCCCAAAGCTGCAGCCCCTGAGGTTCCGGAGGGCATCCTGCTGAGGAGGTGGAGGAAAGGGTAGAGCCTACTTTGACTGCGGGAAGCCTGAGCCCTGGGCAGGCTCTGGAGCACCTGTGGAGATAGATACATTTCGTTGGATTCTGCTGCCATCTTGTGGTTAAAGTGATATGGGCCCTGCCCTGCTGTGGCCAGGAAGGTGGTGGACCAGTCCGGACACTTACTGTCTGCTGTATGCCATGCAGTGGGCTGACCAGGCTGCAGAATGCAGGGTCCCTGCACTCCGTGGCTTGGTGAGGGAAGGCCCCGAAGGGAGAGCAGGCGGGATGTGGTGAGAAACCCGAGCTATCGGAGACGGATCCCTGCTGCTTCGAGACCTGGCACTGAGCTGCACACACATGATAATAAGAGCTAACCGTTCCACAGACTGGCTGGGTGCTGGACGCTGTTCTAGGGACTTCGCCTGCATTAGCGACTCATCCAGTCCCCCCAGCAGTGCTCTGAGGCTAGTACTGTGTTGTTAGGCCTATTTTATAGGTGAGGGGCACAGAAAGGAACTGCAGAGCCAGGCAGTCTAGCGCAGGTCTGTTCTCCTCTCTGGTTTGCTCTGTACAATGTATCTGTTAGTCTGTGTGGTAATCCTATTAGTCTGTGTGGTACAATGTATCTGTTAGTCTGTGTGGTAATCCTATTGGAGAGGCATCACTGCCTCTGATTCGAAGAACATGGAGGCTCAGAGAGGCTATGTAACTCGCCCTGGGTTGCCGAGCTGGTCAGAGGGCATTTATATCCAACCTGCCAGACTGTGGAGTGTGTGTTCCCAACGTAGGGTCTCATGTTTAGGGTCTAGGCCACTACACACATAGTGAGGCAGCTTGGGTTGACCAGAGAACCGGAGGGACGTGGGTCCACACTCCGCTTAGGCCATTTGGGGTCATGTAGGGTACGGACCAGGCATGGAAGAACTTCCTTTGTTTTCCTCCAGAAGCTAGAAATTTAAAGTTTATGTGAAATCTAATTTGAATGTGTTGGTCCACCATTAAAAATTGACAGCGTTTTATGTGGTTTAAAAAAAACACACATCTGTGGGCTGGGTTTGCTTCCTGATCTGTTTTAATCGTCACACCACGGGCAGTCAAGGCAGGCACCCTGGAAGTGGCCGCCTTGGAGACAGGCCCAGTGGGAAGGGCAGGTCTCAGTAGGGGGAAGGGTGGTAGAGAATCTCCTTGCCCTCCAGCTCCCCCTCCAACCCCCCAGCCTTTCAGTCTGTAGCTTATCACCTCCTCCAGGAAGCCCTCCCTGACCCCAGCTGTATAAATCACACTCTCCTCCTGTCGCCCCTCCCAGCAGCCTCCACGCTCTCACAGCTCTCAGACAGTGGGCAGACCCTGAGTGAGGACAGTGGTGTGGACGCGGGCGAGGTAGAGGCCAGCGCCCCCGGCCGAGGCAGACAGATGGTGTCCACCAGAAGCAGGAGTAGCAAGGAGCCACCTCGGCACGAGAGGAGCACAGAGGGGGCGACCAAACCGGTGAGTGAGGAGGAGGGGGTCACACGGGGTGAGGGGAAGAACAAGGAGTCCCTGCCCAGGGTTCAGCTTGGCCAGTGACCACAGGGGATGGAGAGAGCCCCCCACTGGAGGGATGCGGTACTGGAAAGGGATTAGGCTGGGGGCCCTGTCCAGGTCCTGCCTGTGCTGTGTGCGCGCACCTGCAGGGGGTCTTGAGTGTCTGGAGCTCAGCGCTGACATGGGTGCTGGCTGAGGCGTCGGGCCTGGATTCAAGGCCTCATGCCACCACCAGGCAGCCTGGGGCCGGCCCTTGCTTCCTGAGCCTCAGGGATTCTGTAGCAATTACGAGCTGAGAACACCCGAGCTTAGCTTGCTGCCTGGCATACTGGAGGCTCCAGCACCGGAGGCGTCTGAGCCCTGCAGACCTGGGGTGTGTCCGCCCAGGCCTGCCCACTGAGAAGGCCTTTGTCACTGGTCTCCTTCACGCCCGCAGCCTGGTCTCCTGGAGCCCACATCCACCCTGGTCCGCGTGAAGAAAAGTGCGGCCACCCTGGGCATCGCCATTGAGGGTGGTGCCAACACCCGCCAGCCCCTGCCCAGGATCGTCACAATCCAGGTACGTCCCCAGGGGCCCCATTTGACTATCTCTCCCTACCCCTGGAGGTTTTGTCCTCAGCATCCCAGGGGTGCGCCACGCCCAGAGGTGACCCAAGGGCAGACGCAGGCTCATATGACCTTGGCTCTCCCTGAGCCTCCTCCTAATCAGGGTGGTGGACGCCCAGATTGCGGCTGCCGGGTTGGCAATGTCAGGCCTGACCTGGTGGGCGGTCTGAGCCAGGCCAGCCCAGCCCTCGGTGCCCTATGTGCCTCTGCTCTGTGTCACCCCGCAGCGAGGTGGCTCAGCCCACAACTGCGGGCAGCTCAAGGTGGGCCACGTGATCCTGGAAGTGAACGGGCTGACGCTGCGGGGCAAGGAGCACCGGGAAGCCGCGCGCATCATCGCAGAGGCCTTCAAGACCAAGGAGAGTGACCACATCGACTTTCTGGTCACCGAGTTCAACGTGATGCTCTAGGGGCCGAGGCCTGAGGGCCTCCCACCGCAGCTCCGCCCCTGGCCCCAGCCCCACCCCCCCGGCACCGCTAAGCTCCTTGAGGGGCCAGGGCTGCATGGCCAGGGTCGCAGGGAGACACCCCCACTCCTTCCGGGCCCACTGGACCAGCACTGGGAGAAGAGAGCCAGGCGGAGCGAACAGAAGGTCAGGTCAGGCCTGGGCCATGCGGGCACACAGTGGGCACGCACAACAGTGGGCTTAGGAAGGAGAGGAAGGGCCGCGCGCCTGTGTCTTGGCGGGCCCACCTGAGGTCTGCCAGGACCTGTTCCTCTGGGTTGACTGGGGGGCACTGTGCCCCCTGGCCAGCTAGGACCTGGCCATCCCAGATGCCTCAGCCGTTGTCTAGAGGGAGGTCACATGAGAATTCATGGACACGGCCCCAGCCGGGGGGCGTCTTGCAGGACCTTTAGTGCCACAAATAAGCATCAAGCACTCCCCTCCCCATTTCCACCCCCCCTTCTCCTAGCTCCTTGTCCCCCATGGTATTTATTATTTATTTCCCTCTCCATACCCCTGGGGACCCAAGACCCCACCTTCCCACCGCACCCCAGCCTATCCTAGAGGCCTTGCAGGTGACCAGCGATGTCAGTGTATTTATATACAGAGCTTATGACTTTAATTTTTCAATAAAGAGATCTGAACAAGGTTAGGGTCCGTGTGCTGTGTGGCCTGCCTGTGTGACTGGGGTCTTGATTGCCCCACGTGGAGAGTGGGTAGGACAGATGGAAGCCCCCAGAGCAGCAGGCATCACTACCCTCTCCCCTCCCCCACATCGGCACTTCAGGGGCACTTGAACCACACCCGCATCCCAGGACCCCACCTGAAGGTTGTTCACAGGTACACTGTTAGATTAGAAGGCACGGGTATGTCATGGGGCAGAAAGCACAATGTGTGTGGATGTTTTAAAATACAGAGAGGTGGCCCACCTCGTGGCGGGTCCCAGAAACACTGAGGTGAGGACTTGAATGCAAGTGAGTCATTAAGGACGGGAGGGGCAGTAAGGATTGGGGGCCAGGAGGGGGGGGGGTGGAAAGCCACGCAGGCTGGGGTTTCAGGCGTAGTCCTGAGAGGGCGACTGCAGCCCGGACTCACAGGGGACACGGGTGTGTAACGTGGACTTAGAGTCGTCCCCACTCAGGGCCAGGGTCAGGGCTTTCATCCCGTCTTTGGACAGGCCGGGGGAGAAGGGAGGGGTAGGAAATTCCAATCACATCTCACCCTCTACATGTGCAGGTCACACACTGTTCCAGGGGCCAAGGACAGTGGGTGTTAGACCTAATAATATGCCTGGCTGGTGTAGTACAGTGGTTAGAGCATTGGCCTGCGGACAGGAGGGTCACAGGGTCCATTCCTGGTCAAGGGCACATACCTGGGTTGTAGGTTCAATACCCCGACCTGGGTTCTGCGGGAGGCAACCAATTGATGTGTCTCTCTCACATCAGTGTTTCCCTCTCACACTGATGTTTCTCTCTCTCACACTGATGTTTCTCTTTCTCTCTCACTGATGTTTCTCTCACATCAATGTTCCTCTCTCACTCACACTGATGTTTCTCTCTCTCACTGATGTTTCTCTCTCTCACTGATGGTTCTCTCTCTCTCTCTCACTGATGTTTCTCTCTCACACTGATGGTTCTCTCTCTCTCACACTGATGTTTCTCTCTCTCTCACACTGATGTTTCTCTCTCTCACTGATGTTTCTCTCTCTCTCTCTCACTGATGGTTCTCTCTCTCACTGATGTTTCTCTCTCTCACTGATGTTTCTCTCACTGATGTTTCTCTCACTGATGTTTCTCTCTCTCTCTCACTGATGGTTCTCTCTCCCTCTCACTGATGTTTCTCTCTCTCACTGATGTTTCTCTCTCTCTCACTGATGTTTCTCTCTCACTGATGGTTCTCTCTCTCTCACACTGATGTTTCTCTCTCTCACTGATGTTTCTCTCTCTCACTGATGTTTCTCTCACTGATGGTTCTCTCTCTCACTGATGTTTCTCTCTCTCACTGATGTTTCTCTCTCTCTCACACACACTAATATTTCTCCCCCCCCCCCCCCTTACACACTATCTAAAAGTCAATAGAAAAATATCCTCAGGTGAGGATTAACAAAACAAAGAAATGTCCTGGCAGGTTTGGCTCAGCGGTTAAAGCATCAGCCTGTGGACCAAAGAGTTTTGGATTCGATTGCAGGTCAAGGGCATATACCTTGGTTGTGGGTCATTCTCCAACCCTGGCCTGGGTCCTGCGGGAGGCAACCAATCAATGTGTCTCTCTCACATCAATGTTTCTCTCTCTCTTCCTTTCTCTCTCCCTCCCACTCTATCTAAAAGAATCACTGGAAAAATATCCTCGGGTGAGAATTAAAAAAAAAAAAGCCCGGATAGTGTGGCTCAGTTGGCTGAGTGTTGTCCCATGTACCAAGAGGTCACCAGTTGGATTCCTGGTCGGGGCATATGCCCAGGTTGCAGGCTCAATCTCCAGTCGGGGCTGTGCAGGAAGCAGTCAGTCAGTGCTTCTCTCTCTCCCTCTTCCTTCCTCTCTCTCTAAAATCAATAAAAACATATTTCAGGGGAAAAAAAAGTAAAAATACGTGGAGGGGAGGGTAGCAAGAAATGGTCTGCTCCCCAGCCCCAGTGCCCATGTCCTTCATCCCCACGCTTCCTCTGGGGCAAGAAGGATTTAAGAGGTCCTGTTTGCCCAGCCCAGTGTCCAGCAGTCTGCAGAATGGGTTAGGGGCAGTGGATTCCACAGACCTGCACCAGATTCTGCTCTTAGCTGCCCCTGTCCTCTCCCCAGGCCAAGGAGATCACCTGGGACCAGAGCCCTGGATCGATCTCTGAAGCAGTCTATCCCTGAGCGTCCCAGCCCCTTCCCAGTCCTAACCCCTGCAGTGAAGAACACTTACCTGGCTGCAGGAGAGCTTTGTCAGGCCCCAGGTCTCCAGGCATCAGACTCTAAATCCTGGGCGGTCCAAGGCAAGTGATTTCATCTTTTGGAGTTCAAGTTCCCTATCTGGAAAACGGGTATGGTAGGCTGAATAATGGCCCCTAAAGGTATTGAGGTTCCTGGAATATGTGCAGAAGTGATTCAGGCATTCAGATGGGGAGGTTATCCTGGACTATTTGGGCAGGCCCAATCTAATCACAAGGATCTTTGAAAAAGGGAGGCAGAAGAAGGGAGATTCAACACGGAAGAGGAAAAGGTGTTGTGATGATTGATGGAAGCAGAGGTTGGACTGATGTGCTTTGAAGATGCAGGAAGGACCACGAGCCCAGGGTTTCAGGTGACCACTGGAAGCTGAAAAAGGCAAGGAAATGGATTCTCCCCCAGAGGTGGCAGAAGGAAACTGCCCTGCTGACACCTTGACTTTAGCCCAGTGAGACTGATGTTGGACTGCTGACCTCACCTTGTAAGAGAACAAATTACTGTTGTTTTAAGCCATGAACTGGTGGTAATTTGTTATAGCAGCCACAGGAAACCAGTGCACGGGGATACTGCTGCTTGCCGTTGATGGAAAGTGGGATGCTGTGTGTACCATGGCACCAGGCACAGAGTCCGCCCGGGGAGATAACTGCAGTCAGGATGATGGTGAACAAAGACAGGAGCCCTCTGATCTTATGAATGCCACACCTTTTCCAGTCCCGGGGGACGGAGAGCCCCCAGAGCTGCTGCCCATGGTCCCAAGTTTGTACTCTGAAAAAAGGAAGACAAGAATGAATTTCTAGAACTGTTGTTTCTGAAATTGCTAGGCCTGACTCCGGAGGTGGGGGGATTTCTTTGCAGGCGGGATTAGAAAGGTCAAATTGATTGTTTGCCCAAAGTTGTAGCGCTAGTGAGTGGCAGAGGACACATGTAGACTGATGGCTGCCTGGCATCAACAGGAAGCCCTGGGACAAGCACACGTCCTGTTGTCTTTTGAAAGGAACCAATACCATGGGCTAAGGCAGTGTTGAATACTGTGAGAGGGAAGGGGCCAGAGGTCCACCTGGACACTTGTACCTGTGGCCCTACTATCTTTACTCATGACACCAGAGCTAGCTAGAGAATCTCAGATTGTGTTGCTAGAAAGAGAAGGAGAGTTTTGGGCTTTAGCTGGGGCCTGCCCAAGCAAATGCCAAGTTGGCCTTCAAATCACCTGGAGCCCTCTCTGCTTAGGAGAAAGCGGGGGTGGGGGGTGGAGTAGCCCAGTGTGGGGAGTACAGGACAGGGAACAAGGCACAGCTCAAAGAGTCCACAACTTAGTGTCTAAAACCTGACATCAAATCCCACCTCCACCACTTCCTGCCTGTGTAATCCTGGGCAAATCATTTAACCTGAGCCTCAGTTTCCTCATCTGTAAATGGGAAGCATCATACTAACATAACTTGTGAATTATTGTAAGGGTTTGTTAAAAGCTTTTCCCCGGGACAGAGGAGGCCTTCAGTGATTAGAAGCTGCTGCTATGCAACATAGCTGGATGCAGGGTCTTGGGAAAGCCAGTTCTTGTCTTGGGGCCTTTTAATCTCCCATGTGAAGTAGGTAGGATTCTTCGAGGAACTCTTTAAATTAGTTCCATTGTTTTATTTCTTATAGGCCTGGTGCCATGTTTATCTATTTACTCCCCTCAGCAACACTGTGAGGCAGGAGCTATAAATCCCACTTAACCGAAGCTCAGTGGCAGCTGACACCTTACCAGCCATTCTTCAAAGTGCGCTGTCAGTGGGCAGTGAATTTCTTCTGTCCTGTATTCAGTGCGGGATCTTGGGCAAGTTCTTGTTTCTCTCCAGGACTGGGTTTCTCCACTTGGTTTGGACTGGAATATACTAATGATAATACCAACCCACCTCACTGGAGAGGATGGGTCATAGTAAGAGCTCACAACAGTGCCTGACACGTAATAAGTGCTCAAGAAAAGTTTATTCCAGTATTATTACTACTGTGATGAAGCAGTTCGTTTCCACTATGAAGGTTTGGTTTCTTCCTCACTGCAACTTTGCACAAATGTCTTAACTCCGGGGTTCAGTTTCGGATTTGCGGTGCGACAGGCACCACGACGTACACACAATCTCCCAGATTTGTGATTTTCCCTGGTGGAGTCGCATCTGACTGCTGGGGCCGGCCTCAGGCTGCCGCCTCTCTGTGATTGGTGGAGCTTCCGAGACCCCGCCTCCTGGGGCCGTACCCCGCCCGTCAGAGGCCGGCCTCGGGGACTATGCAAAAAGTCGCTGCCCCGCCCCACGCCCGGATTGGAGGCCTTTGTTTGCCGCTCAACTCCAGGAAACCACCCCGCGGAGGTGGCCAGCAGGTGAGGAGCGGGGAGGGGCTCGCGCTGGTCCGGGGTGGGTTCCGGCCCCTCGCTGGGTCTCAGTTTCTCGGTCGGGGGAATGGGGAGGGAGGGTGGACATCGCCGATGGGCCTCGATCCACGGGACGGTGCTGCTCTCGATCTCTCCCACGTGGGAGGACCACGAGCACGGGAAGGAGACCGACCGCCTCTCTGGAAATAGGAGGAAGTACTGGATCAGTGAACGGAACCGAGTCCAAATCCCGCAGTCTCCACCTTCCCGCCTCAGTCTCCACCTCCGCACAATGGGGGCGTGGGCTTTTTCTCTGTCTCCGGCTA